CCCGATAATTTTGTTGCTGTGAAGATGAGGCTATTTCTTTGTTGCTTTCTATATAACACCTCATTTTGATTTACATACGGTGTAATTTCACTGTTGTACATGTATGAGTTAGCAATATTTTCAAGCATTTATTCTCATTTAACTACAGAGTCTTAATGAAAATTCCAATACTGAAATTTCTGAACTATGGTTTTTGACATGTCTTTCTTCTTTTCTTTAGAATGAGTATCTTGCAAATGAATTAAGTATGAGAGAGCGAGATTTGGAGAAGAACAGGACTGTAATAGCTAAATTTCAATCTAAATGTAAGTTGCAGCCTGTTTTAAAACTAGGGAATGTTATCAGGTACCTGCAGATAGTTTGCTTATTTTGTGGTTGTGACCACAAATATCTGACTTTGCAGTTTCTTTTTTAAAGCAGTTTGCTTTGGTCTTTCACAGTGATTGTGTTTGCTGTGTGCATAGAAGGTTATTATACAGTGATATACTTCTGAACTGTGGGCATTATGGTTGTGGATTGGTCCAGGTGTGAACACAATGATTAGAAAACAATGAATGTTAATGGTTGTCCTGGGTTCAGCTACAGCAGTCATTTTTTCTCCTTCTTAGTAGCTGGTACAGTGCTGTGTTTCTTGACTTTCAGTCTGGGAACAACGCTGATAACACCGATGTTTTTAGTTGTTGCTAAGTAATGTTTACTCTGACCAAGGACTTTCTCAGTCTCATGCTCTGCCAGAGAGGAGGGGAAGCTGGGAGGAAGCAGAGGCAGGACACCTGACCCAAACTGGCCAAAGGGGTATTCCATACCACAGCACGTCATGCCCAGTATAGAAACTGGGGGGAGTTAGCCGGAAGGGTCAGACCACTGCTCGGGTCGGGCTGGGTATCGGTCGGCAGGTGGTGAGCGGTTGTGTCCTCTCCCCTTGTTATTCCTCTTATCATTATTATTGGTAGCAGTAGTGGTTTGTATTATACCTTAGTTACTGGAGAGCTGTTATCTCAACCCGTGGGAGTTACATTCCTCTGATTCTCCTCCCCATCCCTCTGGGAGTGGGGGGAGGAAGGAAGAGGCGGGGGAGTGAGTGAGCAGCTGCGTGGTTCCAGGTTGCCGGCTGGGCTTAAACCACGACAATGGTATTTGTCAAATTAGAATTTCTTTGAATTACCATTAATGACTTTCTAAATTTCGTGTTTATGTTAGTGTGTATCTTTGTGTACCTGTATATAAATACATGCACAGTGCTGCTACTTTTAAACTTAAATTCTTGATAGAACATGAAACATAGTTTATTCATACTAAATACGTTAAACTAGGATCTCTCATGTTTTGTTGTTTTTTTTTTTTTCTTTCCTGAATCAGACCTTATAAGGGCTTTAAGCCTGTGAGTGATCTCAATTAGAATGATTTACTCGTGTAATTGTAGTGCTTGTTTGACTGTAAGGAAGTGTTTGGGAATTAAATCCACTCATTGCTTTCATATACATGTATGTTAGCTGAACAGTACTGCTTTCAAAGTCCAAAATAAAAATAGTTCTAATTTTTCTAGGCAAGAATCTTTTACTGCTCCAAATACTGCATTTGGAGACCTCATAGCAGCCTTCCAGTATCTGAAGGGGGCCTACAAGGATGCTGGGGAGGGACTCTTCGTTAGGGACTCTAGTGGTAGGACAAGGGGTAATGGCTTTAAACTTAAACAGGGGAAGTTTAGATTAGATATAAGGAAGAAGTTCTTTACAGTGAGGGTGGTGAGGCACGGGAATAGGTTGCCCAAGGAAGTTGCGAATGCTGCAGCCCTGGCGGTGTTCAAGTCCAGATTGGACAGAGCCTTGGGTGACATAGTTTAGTGCGAGGTGTCCCTGCTCATGGCAGGGGGGTTGGAAGTAGATGATCTTAAGGTCCTTTCCAACCCTAACTATTCTGTGATTCTATGATTCACTCCTGGATCTTCAGAAGAGTCAGCCATCTTGTTAACTTGTAGAAAAAGTCCTGACTGGTTTATCATTTGGGTTTTTTTAAAGTTTCCGGAGTTCTTGATCTGTCTTGGAAAATCTGGAATTCTACTGACGAACTAATGATGGCAGGAAAATTGTATTTCTTCAGAGTCCTTATTAAAGCCAAGTAATTTAAATGTTCTTTTTTTTCCCCACAGGCAGGGAATTCAGGCAATTCCCATATGCTTTCTTGTTAAACCCAAATATTTCCAAGATAGTCACATTTCTGGATTTGTGAAAGCTAGTCAGATAGGCTCCTAAGGAAGTGAAAAGAGTGGCAGGAAACATTAAGACTGGAAGGTTCAACGAAGTCAAATGTGTTCCCATGAAGCATTTTGTATTTCATTCATATTATAACTTGTTGGTATTTCTCCAGCAAAATACACTCTCTAGATGTTCCTTGCAGCTTTACTTTTCACATATTAATTGGTTATGTTTATATAGAATATGAACATTCTTTCTATATATCAAATCAACAAGCATTATAATGACATGTCCTAGGAAACTTTAAATCATTTTTTCAGTGCTTTTAGACACATTTACAATTTTTATTGCAGTAAAAGAATTATCAGAAGAGAATAAACAACTTGAACAAGGAATGAAAGAAATATTGCAAGCTGTCAAGGAAATGCAGACGGATCCTAGTGTGGAGGGAGGAGGAACAGCCTTAATAATCCCTACTCTGGATCGTTTAGTTAACGTAAGCTTCCTTTCTGAAGTATTATTTGGCTTTATGGGATTTACAGGCTTCTGTTCTCGATGATTGGGTTATTGTATAATTAAATAGTAGCTTCCTTACACATATACTTCCTTAGTTACAAGTAGGCGTACATAGTGTAATACCTCTTTAAAAATGCAGATTTAAAATATAAAGAAACAGGAGATTGCCAATAAAAATTAAAAAAAATGAAACACCTTCAGGTGGATGGTACAAAACTGCTTTTGGTAAATTTATTGTGCCAGTCATAAAAAGTAAAAGTTTGTTCACATGTTTTTTATCTCTGGGACCTGCAGAGTTTAAGAAAAATCATTTATTCAAACATCTTGCAAATAAAAAATAGGAGTTTTTTAATAGTTAACAATGTAAGTCACAGTCTATGGCAAACTATACAGGAAACTGATAAGTAGCTTTTACGTTAAGTTTTCATTCTTTTTGCTAATTTCATGTGGTCTAAATTTGAGGGCTCTGGTTTATTATGTAAAAAAAAAAAATGCTTTTCTGCACTTTCTCTGTTTTGTTGATTAAGTGTTTATTGCCTTTAGGCAATGGAGTCAAAGAATTCAGAGGGAATCTTTGATACTAGTATGCACTTGAAAGCTCAGGTTGACCAGCTTGCCAGACGAAATGAAGAATTACGACAGGAACTGAAACAGACTCGGAAAGAGGCAACAGATTTCTCTCATCAGCTGGCAAATGCAAATGCAAAGGTATACGACTTACTTTATACAATTTATTTTGTGCTTGAAAAGTGGCTGCTCTGATAATTTAGAACAAAACCACACAATCTATAAGATACTAAATTTAGCTTATGTGAACAGTGTAATTTTACAAATCTTAAATATATGTATTGGATCTTCCAATTTGTCCATTTTAAGTTCAGATCTTACTCTTCTTAATGTTACTTTATCCTTGGAATATCTTATCATGCTATACTGCAGTCATACCTGTCTTTTGGAGAGTGCCGTGCCCAGAAAAGCTCACAGGTTTGTTTCTTCAAGAAGCCAGTAGTCTTGCATTTGTTATTTATGAAAAAGTAACAGAGATTAAGTGTTCTAAGATGATGAATCATTCTCTAAAATCCTGTCTCTTGTTTTAAGTTGTGGAATGCTTCTTTCCAGGGCAGGAATGAGGAATGACTGTCTTACACGAAGCCAAATTTAAATTTGCTTTTTAGAATAGCTTTGGTGATGCAGAAAGAGTTTCCAGTAATTAATATTCTAGAATAGTGTCTATGTACTGTTAGAGTAGAGAACCAGAGAGCTTATAAAAAGTTAAAAGTGAATTAGGTTGTTAATAACAACTGATATAGCACAGGAAAACAATATATTTTCCATAATTTTATTTTTCATCGAATAGGAAGAGCTGATTTATGGTTTTGTTTCTTTTCTCTAGATTGCACAATTGAAAAATGAAATTTCCTTATTACAGCAGTCAGAAGGTGCCAGTATTGTCTTCCAAACATTGAATCTTCCAGAAGGAATGGTTCCTTCAAGTCTTAATATAATTAACTCTCTGAATGAATATTTAATACGTCTTGTACAGGTAACTCATTTACTCCTTAATATCAAGAATATTTGTAACATATAGCTAATTCCTCCGAAATCTAGTACCATGCCTTGCATGGACATAGGAGATTTCTCCAAAATTATTTTGAAGTTCTGGTGTCAAGTAAACTCCTTGAGCTATTACTCTGGTTTTTCTTTTTAAAGCTGTGAGTATTTTGCTGTGTTGTAAACCTGGAAAGTAATGCTTAAATCTCTTAGAACAATTAAGATTTCTTTCTAAATCTAAATTTTAATCTAAATATTTGTCCACTCTTCCTTCTACTTCTGCAATTGCACTCTTTCTATGGGAAATTCTCTGTTACTGCTGTCTGGATTCCACACCTGAGTCTGCATGTGCAAATCCTACTCTAAACAGGTTTTCTCTATACAGCAAAGGTCTCTATTTATTTACCATATAAATTTTCTTTCCATTGTTTTTCAAAAATAGAACAACATTTGTAAAAAGAGGTATAAATACATTGAAACCGAAGCCATTGAGCATATGGTAAAGAAGAACTGACTCTTTGAGAATTGGAGTAAAAAGAATTTACCTTTTTATTATTGTTAAATTATTCTGTTCTGTCTTTGATCACTTTTCTTGATAAGAGATTATCTTTCAGGTGTATATGATTATAAAGTAGAAGAGTATTTGGGAATGTAAGAAGAAAACATTGCTTTTCAGTCAGGCAGTCAGTATTCTTTGTGGGCTACCATCATGTTATGGTGGCTTGAACTTTGAGGACTGTAATCCACAGTGCAATGATGCACTATTGCACACCTTTATATTAATATGAATCCCAGATTTTATTGGACTTGTTTTCGTCTGTTGCTTCTAAAGAAAATACACATTTAATATCTGCAGTTCGCACAGTTCATGACAGAAGCATCTATCATGAAAAGCACAAGGGAGAACTGGCATTTTGATTAATCCTTTCATGTGTAAAACCTTTGTTAATCACTTCAGTATTATATTTGGAAAATAATTATTAGGAACTGGAAAATAAAGAACAGTCACTTAAACAATTAGAAGATGCACTAGAGGACTACAAGCGAAAATTTGCAGTAATTCGTCATCAACAAGGCTTGCTGTATAAAGAATATCAAAGGTATTGTTCTCTTTTCTGAGTTACAAAAGTTCAACTGTCTAAATGTTGAGGAATGTAGAAGAGATAAGACACTTTAACTTAAGAATTACTTCATCATTAAACCAGATGCAGCCTAAACAGAGGGTATAGCTTTTCAGTAATCCAGCTACGATTTATAATGTATTTTTCAAATCATGTTACTGCTAAAAATGAGTATCTTGGTTTGCAGTATTTGCTGGTTTAGTTACAGTTTTAAAAATCATCTTGTCTTTGATCATTATAAATGAAAATATTTAATTATTGTTTTAGTCAAAAGGAAAGCTGGCAGAAAGAATCTGAAGACATGAAAGAGGAAATGAAAAAGCTAGAAGAGCAAAAAGAACAGGATGCTACAAAAATAAAGGCATATTCCGTAAGTAATTTTTATTAGCAAATAGAAATTATTTCAAGACGGATAAACAGAATTTTCACACCTAGATAAAACTGTATAAGAAAGCTTGTCTATGTAGTTGAATCTTACCTTATTTCTGTACAAGGTTCTTTTTAAAAAAATTGTTTACAGAATCTACTCAGTGCACTTCAGCTGGATCCTGATGAAACAAAGAAAGTACTTGCAGAAAATAATAGAAAAATAACTGTTTTACGAGTTAATGAGAGGTCACTAACAAGGCAGTATACCACTTTACTGGAAGCAGAACGGCATCTTAGAAAAGAAAATGAGAAACTAAAAGGTGAAATAACACATATGGAGACTGCAGTTACAGAGAAGATTGGAAACTTGCAACGATTCAAGGTACAGTGATTCAAGGTACAGTTTACAGTAGTAATAGTACACATTTTTATTTTTACAATTTGACAATAAATGCCCTTTATAAAGATGGACAGTAGTTTAGTAAAATAAACCAGTATTATGTTCTAAAGCATTATATTAAGTAGTATACTTTTTATGTGGAGTAATTTCAATTTTCCTATTTAATTACCCAGCAGACCTTAGTAACCCATTGTGTTGATTATTTTCATAGGAAATGGCTAGCTTTAAGATTGCAGCTCTGCAAAAAGTACTGGATGGTAGTGTGCCATTGTCTGAGCTAGAGCTGGCTAATAAGCAGTATAATGCATTAACCGCTAAATACAGAGATATGTTACAAAAAGATAATGCGCTTGTCCAGCGGACAACAAACATGGAACACATGGAGGTAATGTTTTGCGTTATGTTTGAACCCTAGGGGAAAAAAACCCTCATTACACATTAGTTCTGTATTGGTTTTTATTCTTACTTAATAGAAAGAAAGAACCGAAGTCCCAGCACTGGAACTGCTGGTTATAACAGTCCTATAGTGGGTATGAGACATTAGAGACAGTCTTACTGTTGCTATTGAATTGATTTTGTGTTTCCAGTAATTTCAGCAGATTAAGAAACATACACAAAGTCACAGATTTTATTTCATTGAGCATACATGAAAGCGTTTTGTCAAATTGTTTTGTAGGTTGGTCTATTTGGTTATATTTGCTTTTTAAGTATGGGTATGTTCCCTCACAAAGTGTTTTTAGTTCTTTTTTTTTACGAAAACAAGGCTGGCAGAAGGAATATTTGCTATCATCTTCAGTTTTCTAGGTCATAAGGAATGTAGAATGAGTGTAAACGCTTTTAAAGCTTTCTTTCAAAGTAAGTGCTCTTACTAATTTCTGATTTCATAGAATCTAGAATAGATAGGGTTGGAAAGGACCTTAAG